TCCGTCTGAGGATGGAATGCCGTACTCAGGCGGAGCTGGACACCCGCCATCCTGAAGAGGTCGCGCCATACATGGCCCGTGAAAACTGGGTCCCGATCACTGACGATCGAAGTAGGAAATCCGTGTAGACGGACGATGCCGTCGAAGAAGGCCCGGGCCACTGATGCCGCCGTATATGGATGGCCGAGCGCGATGAAGTGGGCGTACTTGGAGAAGCGGTCGACCACCGTGAGGATGACCGACTTGCCACCCACCTTGGGAAGGCCCTCAATGAAGTCCATGGATATATCCGCCCAGACCTGAGATGGCACCTCCAAGGGCTGGAGTAACCCGGCCGGCCTCAGGGCCTCTGTCTTGTTGCGCTGGCATGTCTGACAAGACCGAACCCAGTCGCGGACCAGGGCGCGATCGCTAGGGATGTAGAAGTCGGCGCGAAGACGATGGAGGGTTTTCTGCATACCCTCATGGCCTGCTGAATGGGCGAGCTGTAACACCTGGTGACGGAGATCATCATGCGCCGGAACAGACCCGGCGCCCATGTAGGAGCAGTCCGTCAGAGAAGCGCCAAGGCTCCTCCAGGTCGCCGGTCGTGAGCTGCTGCTGAAGACGGACGGCGTCGTCGGCCGTCGCAGTGGCGCGGCGAATGTCGGCGAAGAGGCCGAACGTCGGCCCAGAGCGGATGCACAGGGCCGCCCCGGCGGACTCGTCGGTGGAGGAAACAAAGTCGGAGTCGCGACGAGACAGTGCGTCGGCCACTGTGTTAAGGCGGCCCGGCCGATACTCGATGGAAAAGTCGAAGCCGAAGAGCTTGCTGATCCACTGATGCTGCGGCACGGTCGACAGCCGTTGATCCAGCAAGAACTTTAGGCTGTAGTGGTCGGTGCGAATGAGGAAGGACCGGCCCCACAAGTACGGCCGCCAATGACGAACGGCCTGTACAAGACCAATGAGCTCCCGCTCGTATGCCGCCAGCTTAAGGTGTCGTGGAGCGAAAGGCCGACTGAAGAAGGCAAGGGGCCCATCGCCCTGATGAAGCACGGCGCCGAACCCTGCGCCTGAGGCGTCACAGTCCACCACGAACGGGCGGTCGAAGTCGGGCATCTGGAGGACGGGGCCCGTCGTGAGGGCCCCCTTGAGGGCCTCGAATGCTGTGGTCGCCTCGTCGTCCCAAGCGAAAGCGTCGCGGCGAAGCAACCGCGTGAGGGGCGCCGCGATGAGCCCGAACTCCCGAATAAATTTCCGGTAGTAGCCAGCGAGGCCGAGGAACCCGCGGAGAGCCCGCGGCGAGTGAGGCGTCGACCACGCGGAGACGGCTGCCACCTTGTCGGCGTCCATAGCCACCCCGTCAGCGGAGATGACGTGGCCCAAGTAGGCCACTGAAGGCGTCCCGAACGAGCACTTCGAGCGCTTAAGGTGGAGGTGGTGCGCTCGAAGCTCGTTGAAGACGATGGCGACGTGCTGGAGGTGCTCGGCCCAAGACGCGCTGTAGATCAGAATATCATCAAAGAAAACAAGCACAAACCGACGTAAGTAGGGCCTGAGGACGTCGTTCATCAGAGCCTGAAAGGTCGCCGGGGCGTTGGTGAGGCCAAAGGGCATCACCAAGAACTCGAAGTGGCCGTGATGAGTCCGAAACGCCGTCTTGGCGATGTCATCCGGGTGCGTGCGCACCTGGTGGTACCCCGACCGAAGGTCGAGCTTGGTGAAGAAGCGCGCCCCGTGTAGCTCATCGAGGAGCTCGTCGACCACCGGAATAGGGAACTTATCCTTAAGTGTGATAGCATTAAGGGCACGGTAGTCGATGCAGAAACGCCATGTGCCGTATGACTTGCGGACGAGAAGCACCGGCGCAGTGAACGGTGAAGTGGAGAGCCGGATGATGCCGGCTGCGAGCATGAGCGCACACTGCCGCTCCAACTCTTCCTTCTGCAACTGCGGATAGCGGTAAGGGCGGACCGCCATCGGCGCGGAGCCTGGCAGAAGATGTATACGGTGATCATACGTGCGGGCGGGCGGCAGCCCCTGTGGCTCGGTGAAGATGTCATCATGCTGCTGTAGGAGGCTCTCCAAGAGTGGGTGCTCGGCCGTTGCGGTGGTCGCGGCCAGCTGGAGGGGTGGAGAGGGTGCGGCACCCCCAATGCCGTCCCACCGAATGCGGCGGCCCAATCGCCAGAAGGTCATCGTCACGCATCGAAATCCCAGAGAATAGGACCAAGAGTGCGCAAGAAGTCAACGCCGAGGATGAAGTCGAAGCAGCCCAAGTCGATGCCGGCGCAGGTGATGGAGAAGTGCTCGCCGCCGATAGTGATGGGCACGTCACGGGCGAGCCCATGGCAATGGAGACGGTCGCCATTAGCGACTGTGACTCGCAATTGCTCGCCGCCGGTGGGCTGTAATGCAAGGCGCCGCATGGTGGTCGCTGGCAGGAAGTTATGGGTGGATCCCGTGTCCACGAGGGCCACTAAGCGCTCGCCCTGGATCATGACCGGTAAGAGCATCGTCCGTTCATCACGGATACCGGCCAGCGCATGTAGGGACACCACGAGGGCGGTGGCCGGGGCGGGCGCGGGCGCCGCTGCGGTCTCCGCAAGGGCTGGGGCGCCGAGGCCATCCTCCAGAGTCTCCTCGCCCGTCTCGTCTGACGTCTCCAAGTAGAAGAGGCGGGGACAGACATGGCCCGGTGCATAGGGCGCATCACAGTTGAAGCACAAGCCTAGGCGCCGGCGTTCCAGCTGTTCTGCCTGAGTGAGACGCCTGAATGGCCGTGTCGGAGCCGGGGTGGCCGCCGGGGCGGCCGTGGACGGCGTCGGTGCTGCCGGAGACGGCCGAATAGGCTGTCGGCCCCCACGTGGCGCGGATGGACGCGTCAAGGCCTGGGCGCGTTGTTCGAATGCTCGGGCATAGTACATGGCCGTCTGAAGGTCTTGGGGCCCCTTCATCTCGACGTCCACGCGAATGTGGTCAGGAAGGCCACCGTTGAAAAGCTCCGCCCGCTGTAAGGCCGTCACACCGGGCGCGTGGCACGCCAGGGCCTGGAAGCGGTCGGCGAAGTCTTGTACCATGGAGGTGAATGGCAGGTGGCCCAACTCGGCCAGGCGGCTCCCGCGGACCGGTGGACCGAAACGAAGAAGGCACAGCTCCCGGAAACGATCCCACGGGGGCATGCCGCCCTCGTCTTGCTCGAGGGCGTAGTACCATGTTTGGGCGGCCCCGCGGAGATGGTAGGAAGCCAGCCAAGTGCGCTCCGACGCAGGCGTGCGCTGTCCGCGGAAGAACTGGTCACACTGGTTGAGCCAGTTAAGCGGGTCGTCGGAGCCGTCGTATGTGGCGAAGTCGATCTTGGCGAACCGGGGCGGCTGCTGGTGTGGCGCGCCCTGGCCCACTGCCTCGGCGGTGCGGAGGGCGGATGATGGTGCGCGGTCCATGTGGGAAAGCCCGGTGTAGTTCCCGGTGGCGCCCGACGCCTCGGGCTGCAACGGAAAACCGGACGGTGGACGAGCCTCCGGGTAGGCCGAGGACGGCCCGTGGAGCCAGCCGGGAAGTGGCGAGGGTGACGACGGGAAGCGGACCTCTTGGATCGGAAGCCCGCTCGGCGACGACCGGCCCAGGTTAGGGCTGGGCGGGGGCGGTGGAGGACCCTGCTCCAGGGCCGCTGGCAGGGAGGGCGCGGCGGAAGACGGCGCGGCCGGCGCGGTCCAAGTGGGCCACTGCGGCCCCGTGGTGGCGGCGAGTGGCGCGGTTGGCGCAAGCTGCGGCGGCCATGGTGGCCACAGCGGCGGTGCGGCCGCCTGGGCGGGGAGCGCCGGGTAGCCTCCGGTGACGGCCCCCGGTACCGAGTACCACGGCAGCGCCTGCTGAGTTGCGGCCATGGCGGGATGGAGTGGTGGCGGCGGCCCGTAGGGACTCGCCAGGTAGAGACGGATGCCTTGTACCGCGGCGACGAGGTCGGTGAGGACGCCGGCCATTGCCTCCGTTGTGAGCTGCGTCTGCGGGGGAGGTGGCGGCGGCGGCGTAGGTTGGACGGGGGCTGGTGGCCGCCCGTGGCCCGACGCGGTGCCGGGTGCCTGGAGGGGCGGCGTCGAGAGGGACGCCGTGACGCCCGCCAGGAGCGAGGCCGTGGCGCCCGGCGTTGAGGCGGCGGCGGTGGAGGAGTTGGCGGCAGCGGCGGTGGTGGAGTTGGCGGCAGTGGCGGTGGTGGCGGCGGTGGATGTGGAGGTGGAGACGACATAGTCGAGACCCGGGTACCTGATACCAAATTGGTAGGGCTAGGGTTCCTACCGGCTCTACTCCGTAGGTTATACGGGCAGAATAGCGAGGGTTGGGGGCGAGGGCGGCGGCTCCGGCGTGTTGGCGCCGTCGCGAGGGAGAAGAAGGCCGGCGGCGGCTAGGGTTTGGTGCGGCTGGGGTTTCCGGCTCCTCTGGAGCCGGGCAATATGATAGAACTATCTTTATTGCTTAATCTCAAACGATGTCTTACAACTAGTATTTATAACTTTAGCCTAAGATAACTTTCCTAAAATAATTTGCCTAAGATAACTTGTGGGTCAAGCCCCTAATACTAAGGCCCGGTGGGCCTCTTTCGGTTATAGACCAAACCGGTCATAACAATTATGTTAGTACTATTAAGAATTTTATGAAGCCATGCTATCGGCTATTGCTTGCTATGGAACAGAAATACTGAAATGAGCAAACAAGATCCAAATAGGCTTTGTTTTGTGGCAGCAACTTGAGGCTATTTTGTGGTGTGCTAGACTATTTAACTCGAAAGTTTGTAGAAACTCATGCCATTACCGTATAACATGTCCTTCTGTTTTGCTTCTGCGTCCTTCTCATCAGGATATATGTCTGCCATACTTCCAATTTTTTTCCTGGTTTTACATGTCTAAAAATTTATATCTAGAAAGCTTATCTTGTGCAAAACCTACGTTATTCATGGTTCATTTTTTCTTTCTTTTGCAGGGCATCTACCACTGAATTTTGAGATAAAGTGCTTTCCGTTGATGCAAGAGGGTGTGCATATATCTTCATCTATGGCCTACTATTGATTGCTCTGCAGTGATCAGTTTGAAGTCTTCTTTCTTCCTCTTGCTACGAGTATTCTTGCTTCTCTGGTGGGCTACAGGAGAGGTGGAAGCAGATAAAGGCAGACAGGCAGCTCAGCCATTCTATGTCCAGGGACTTGGATTGTCCTGTTCAGACACAGATGGCTGTTGCAGTCCTGGATCGGAGTTTCAGCAGTGACTATCCTGCAAGTAGCAAAACTGAGGGGAGGCCATTGAGCTGGAAGAGAGTTTTTGTTCAAACTGATAATGGTTCTGTCCTGGGCATTGAACTGGAGAGGGGGGAAAATGCGCACTCTGTGAAAAAAAAGCTGCAGATAGCTTTGAATGTTTCCACAGAGGAGAGCTCACTGACCTTTGGTGATCTTGTTCTGAACAATGATCTCAGCAATGTCCGCAATGACTCGCCGTTGCTCCTCACAAGGAATCAGATGCACCGTAGCAGCTCAACACCCTGTCTCTCTCCTACTGGAAACGGCATGCAACAGCGAGACCGTAGTGGACCCATTGCTATCCTTGGATGTTCAAGCCCTTCCCCTCAGATGAAACAGCTTGCTAAGGATATTGTCAAAGCCATAAGGAATGATGTTGACCCAGTAGCTGTTAACAGTGGGATGGGTGGTGCCTACTACTTCAATAACATTTGGGGTGAACATGTTGCAATTGTAAAGCCAACCGATGAGGAACCATTTGCTCCAAATAATCCTAAAGGCTTTGTAGGGAAGACACTTGGACAGCCAGGCCTCAAAAGGTCTGTACGAGTTGGTGAGACAGGGTTCAGAGAGGTTGCTGCTTACCTCCTTGACCACGGCCACTTTGCAAATGTTCCTCCAACCATGCTGGTCAAGATCACACACACTGTGTTCAATGTGAATGCCACTGTTGGCTGCAATCATAAGATGTTCCACAACAAATCACAGGCTGTGAGCAAGATTGCATCATTGCAGCAGTTCATCCCTCATGATTTTGATGCCAGCGACCATGGGACATCAAGCTTCCCTGTATCTGCTGTGCACAGGATCGGCATTCTTGACATCAGAATCTTCAACACGGACAGGCATTCGGGCAATCTTCTGGTCAGGAAAGTTGGTCCTGGGTCTGACAACTTTGGAGTGCAGACTGAACTCATTCCTATTGACCATGGTCTTTGTCTGCCCGAATGTCTAGAGGACCCTTACTTTGAATGGATTCACTGGCCACAAGCATCCATCCCTTTCTCTGAGGAAGAACTTGAATACATTGCAAATTTGGATCCTTTAAAAGATGCTGAGATGCTACGGATGGAGCTTCCCATGATCCGCAAGGCATGTCTGCAGGTGCTGGTGCTGTCAACAATATTTCTCAAGGAAGGTGCAGCATTTGGCCTTTGTTTGTCCGAAATAGGAGAGATGATGAGCAGGCAGTTTACTGGGAAAGAAGAAGAGCCAAGTGAACTTGAGCTTCTTTGCATGGAGGCAAGGAAGTGGGTCGAGGACAGAGAGCTATTTCTTCCAGAAGCCGGAGTTGAAGATGACGATGATGACTTCACCCAGTTCTCTCTTGACGGCGAGGATGATTCAGATGCATTTGAATCACCCTCATTCAGCAGGTTTGGTCCCATGAAGGCAAGTCACAGGAATCCACTGTCAAAGCTAGCCGAGTGTGATGAGGAGGAGGAGGATGACAAGGAGATGATCAAGGATGACTCTGACCCCTTGAACGGTATGTTTCCGAAGCTGGTCCCTCCTGTCTCGAAACTGTCCGCGTCGCTGAAGGGGTTTGGTTTCCATGGGAAAGCTAAACCCTTCCACGGAGGCATTCCGAAGACGAAGAGCAAGGTGGCTGCTAAAACTAACTATAGTGGCGAAGGTAGTATGTATCAGTCTGGAAGCAGGAGCGCGAATGAGATGCTCCCTCCCAGCGCCAGTTTTGTGAAGCTGTCGGACATGGGCTCCGAGGAGTGGAACACGTTCCTCGACAAGTTCCAAGAGCTCCTCCCGAGCGCCTTCGAAGCACGGAAGCACGCTGCTGGCGCCGGCCCGCGCCCGCTGCAGAGGCTGGGAACTTCTTGCCAGTTTTGAAGGTAGCAGTACGTACCCAAAGGTAATGTAGATGCAACCCAGGTGTGCAGGTGTTTTCTTCGCGGCAGCCGGAAGCAGCCCTATGCGCCTGTAGGTGTGTGTTTGGACTACGGATCGAGGAGAGGAGAAGATAGAGGTGGTTCGATAAAAATAAAGACCGTCCCCTTGACATGCGATCTTCCCGCAAAGTGTGTCTTCGTGTTTGTGCATAGTTTTAGCTTTTGACATATCAAATGGTTTGTTCTTTCTTTCGTCTGTATATATACCAAGTACTACTCCTACCTCGCAACGCCGGGCTCCATCAGGGCTGGTGGTACCCGGTGGTGGTCGTGTTGAGTGTTGTCGGCGCCGCCGCTGTTTCGGCTTCGCCACTGTACCATTTCCGAGACGCTTACCATAATAATAATAATATAGTATGAATATGCACCTGGATTACATATATGTATCATCTGTTTACATCTCTGCTTTGGTGCTTTTGATGCGTAAGTTGTTGAGAGAACGTGGGATAGTACGTTGATGTGGTACGAGCGATTGATCTGGAACTTTGGTTCGGGTAGTGTCAAAAGGGCGCCCCATGTGCCGTAGAAACTTGCGGGTTGGCTGGTTCCACCGTCAGTGCGGACTGACGACTTCCCTCCAGTGTCCAGATGACCAGATATCGACATGTCTGGTAACGGAAGCACAAATCTATTGACCCTGTCCTCTGCCCGCGACGTATGCACTAGGGAAGTTTGGACTGGACCCTGGGGAGTGTCGTCACTCTGGTGTTTTCTACACCTGAAGTGACTTCTCCAGGCCCTTCTTTTCCCGTCAGGTTAGGTGGCCGGTCCGTGTCACACGCCAGAGTGAGAACATCATCATCAATGGAGGTCGCTTTCCTGCATCTGGACTGTGAACTACAGATAAAAACTAGACGGAAGAAGTCCAAGCCCATCACGTACTAGATCAGAAAACTTCAAGCGAGCATGGTCGTGGGTGCAGTCGTGCAGAAGACGACGTCCATCGCTCGGTCCAGGTGCAGGATAACAGCAACAGGTGTCCACAGGTGTCTCGCTCTGACCACCCTGATGTGGCTGCCTCCCAATGCTTCGCTGCCGTGTGATCGTCTACTCCGATCGTCCCGTTCCTCTATTATTGGCGGCCAGCCCTATCGCTGTCACGGCGCGGCGGCGGCATGGGGAGTTGGCGTGGTCCGGTTCGCCACGGCTGCCATTGGCCGGCCGAGAGCGCAGATGCGGGCACGCAGGCTGGCTGCTACGGCAAGGCAAGGCAGGCAGGCAGGCATAGCTAGCTAGCTTCCTCCTTTCGTTTGGTCTGGAAGGATCCGAGCCCCAAGACGGAAGCAACTATGATGATGGGAGCTCGGAGACGTGTAATATAACAGCTGCGATGGGCTGATCACTTTGCTCTGAACTCTGAACCTGCAAGGCATTTCGTACGCCGAGACACATACTGCTTGCCACATGCTGAAACCTGAAGTATATCATGCGTTACATTCTCTGCAGCTTCAGAGATGTTGCTGCTGACAGATTACAGACGCTACTACCTCTCCGAGCACGGCGCAACCAAAACTGCCCATCCAACTCACCTCGATCTGCTCCATCGATCGAGGGTCGGGCATGGGCTCTACGTGCGGCCCGGAGAGTCCCTCCCTCCCTAACTAATAAGCTAACCATGTGCTAGCTAATGGCCCCTACTAGCTAGCCTAACACTATGTCACTATCTGTATCTTATTGCAATAGGATCGAGTCGCATCTTCTCGCGTGTGTCGACCGGCAGCTAACTAAGGCTTCTTCTCCGCGAGCTCATCCAACGGAGCGTCGTTGTTGATGGGCCGTCGGCTGTGGACGTCCACGGAGACGGAGTAGTCCATCCTCAGCATGTCGGACGCCATGGAGGCCGCGTCGCCGCCATGGTGACGATGACGATGGCCGCTTGCTCCCTGAAGCACGGGCCGAGCTGCTGATCCCTTGCTCTGTTTACCCTGGAAATGAAACTGCAGCCGTCAGCACATGGCAGGAACTGAAGTCGTGTGTCGATTGTGATGTGGCCAGCCATGTACGGTGCAGATAATGTCTGCCATGATAAATTCATGTAAAGCGTGCGGCTGATGCACTTGCCTCATCATGTACAAATTCAGCAGACGTATGATCTGCTTCTTCATTTGCTCCTGCAACAACAGAAATGACATGTATCAGTTCATCATTCAGGGTCCAGTGGTTTGCTGTCAGACAAAAAACAGTACAGCTAACTAATTGCCCTTCTCCACGCTACCCATTTGCAGTACACTAATTACAGGTTCAAGTTTGGGCGATGGGGTGGAAGATTTGACAAGAATCTCTACAGTACAAGCAAAGAACACTAGCTTGTTTAATTGTCGAGGAGCACCGCACTACCACTGCACTTTTACTTCGGGAGAGAAAAATTGAACTACCACTTAGCAGTAATCAATCAGTGGCAAGAAGCAAGAAGAAGCCTTTGCCTTTTTGCCGCGCCTCAGTTATTCTTTGGCGGATGAACTCTGGGAGTGCGGTAATCCGAATGGAGCGGCACTTGGCCGTCAAATTCGCGCCTGCCGCCGCCACTCCTCCTTTGCCCGGCGCTCTCACCGCCTAACCCGACAACGGTGACCTCTACGGTTTTCTTCCCTCCGCGGGCACGGGCAGGGTTTGCACCTGTGTTGCTGGCGCCCACGGCCTCATCACTCCCCGCTCCTCCATGCCCTCGAGCCGCCATTGACCTCCGTCCTCTCAGGTGCCATCCCCGGCCGGTCAAGGGTACCGCGTTGTCGCCCAAGCTCTCCTGCATTTTCACGGTCGAGAAGCGAGATATCAGCACTACTCCGCCATTGCTGGCACTCACTGCCACTGACAACGCCACCTGCACGCAGTGTGAGCGTGCCGTGGACAAGAAGTTATTGCGAAGTTACTGCGAAGTACCAACCTTGTTGTTTGCTTCGGCGGTGGAGGCAGACAGGGAGAGCAGAAGCAGCAGGAGAAGAAGGCTCCCTGCGCACCTCATGGTCTCCGCTACTTGGCAACAAGGAGCTACCTGCTGGCACCTCTGAACCGGACGAGCGGAGGGGAAAGGAGAGGTTTAGGTGACAGTGCAGGGGTTTCATATATACCAAGGAGGCAGATTAGATCCATCCACACCACACCGATCAGCTCAGCTCAGCTCCACCGCACACAGCTAGCGATGCTAGTCAAAGGGAGCTGCCGCATATTCAAACCCGGCACCGTCTGACGCGCCCAATATCAAACTGCTGTGTGTGCGCTTTCCCGTTTCTTAATCCGCGGCCTGTCGCCGGCGCGCGCGCAGGCACCGATGCCATGGTCCCGGCCATGGAGGATGTAGTACAGAAAAACCTCGGGCGATCTCCGGTGCGCGCACGCACGCATGCACGCACCGGCCATGCAGACAGGGGAGGGGAGGAGTACGTGCCTCCTCCGCCGCCTCGGCGCGGCCGACGCGGACGGAATTGGAAGGCGGGGGGCTTGTTCTTTTCTGTCCCTGGGAATGCGCCGCCATGCGCGCGCGCCCGCCACGGCGAGGCGTGCTTCTGTGGTGGTGGTGTCCTCGGATCGAAGGACCTTGCGTGCGTGCGTGGGGTGTGACTGAGAAAACAATCGTGTGTGGGAACCGGGTTCCGATGGTGCTGTTTTGGTTCTTGTGGGGAGATCACTAGCTGCGGTCTCGGATTCCTTCGAATCAGAAGTCTGGCGCGCTGCTGCTATGCCCCCAACGTACGTTCGCATTCACTAGTTTCAGCCTTTTTTTAGTTGTCTGAGTAGTTTCAGCCTGATGAAATGTAAAAGCATTTTACTTTATCGAGGGAGCAGAAGTTAGAGCATCTACAATTGAAATTGCTTATTCCGGGGCCTTATACATCCGTGGACAGTGACCGACCGGTCCTCAAATGACCCAACCACATGTCTTATTTTTGGAACATCAAATACATGCAAACACTTACACGTCGATCGTCACGGCCAAACAATGAATAGTGCATATAAATAAGAACAATTATACTTCAGAATACATAATCGAAACATGGTGTAAAAATAAAAATTGTTTCTAGTGCATAATTGAAAAATCAAAAGCAAAGTTTGCTCATTTTTAGCGTGGATGATCCACACATACTCCACAAGATCATTCAGAAGTGGCATATGCACCTGTTGATATCGATATTGTCGATGCATCTCTAGAAAGTTGGCAGTATGCTCCGCCTCTTTGTTCTGAGAGGCGGACCTGAACACCGGGCTTCTCAAAGTCATGCCTGCAGGCTGCCCCTTCATCCTTATCCTCGACAATCATGTCGTGCAATATTACGCAACATGTCATGAGCTGCCAAAGTGTCTTCGCTTCGCACATTATTGCAGTCCCACGAACAATATCCCAACGAGCTTGAAGCACTCTGGATGCCCTCTCCACATCCTTCCTAGTTGTCTTTTGCGTTGTTACAAAGTGGCATTGTTTCTTTCCATGGGATCGGATACGGTTTTTACAAACGCCTTCCATTCAGGATAGATACCATCGGCAAGGTAGTACCCCATGTAGTTGTGCCCGTCAGGGGCGGGGCTACCTCCCGGCGACCATGGGCAGCTGCCCGGGATGCTCCGGCCATTCTCCACTAAGTAGTACACATAAACCATGATTAGTATGACTAATTAAATGCTGGAAAACATCACTGTAAATAGGCTTTTCCCCGGCTCCTTGCGTTGGCTGGCTCCATCACTAGTGCCCGTTGACGGTGTAGTTGCACGGCGAAGCTTCACCGTCACAAAGTCTATTGAAAAAAGGAGATCGTGGAGCATATTGATGTCATTGCATGAACCACACGTGCCAAAGAAGGCATGCCAATTCCACAAGTCCTTCAATGCCACTGCTTTAGGTACGATGGTGGTTTCTTTGACGTGACCTTGATACAACCCACACAAACCTTTTGGGCAGTTTTTCCATTGACAGTGCATGCAACAACTGATGCCAATATACCTAGGAATCCTCTTAATACTTCAATTGCAAACAATTTTTCTTTGTCCTCCACAGTTGGCTCTCTCAGGTACTCTGGTCCAAACACCTTCATCACAATGCATGCAAATTTCATTGTGGTGTTTAGAGTCGTGGTCTCTCCCATTTGGATTACAGTACCAATTGCATTTGCAGCCTTACATAAGCAAGCACCCTCAGCCGTGCATTTCTGCAGAGGAAAGAAAGAAAGTTGTCTGCAATAATCCTTCCCAGTTTGAAGTTGTCACCGGCCTTCTTCACAATAGTCGCTACATGCAAGAACTGATCTCTACTCATTCGGAAGGGGCGTCAAAGGAAGACTTCATGGTATGTTGATTCCATTTAATTTGAAATAGTCCTTGTACAGAAGTCGTGCACTAGCAATTCTATCCCGAGGAATAACTCTCTGACCCTTTGTGGGGCCTTGAAGTCCTGTATGTGCTCCTCTGCCTTCTCCATTTCCTCTTGGATGCTCATCATCATCATTTCAACATATTCGTCATCTGAAAATCAAAGAATCGATGAACTTGTTGAATATGAATTCGTAAGGTCCTTGGTTCCATATTGGTCTTTTCGTGAGAATGCATCGGTGACCTAGAAATGGCCAAAAGAATAAAAAGCCCTGGAGGAGTTGGACGTACCAGGGCGGCGTTCGGTGACAATGTGCGCTACCAATTGTGTATTAGTATTATGGACAAAAAAATGCCTGTATTTGGATAATACTTGACAAATAATTATTGGCATGAACATGCCCCTTCATCTACTCCCATTCACTTTTCTTGAAAGCAAAATCTTAACAATTATCTGGTGGAATATATATTTTTTTCTCAGCGACAAACCCATGTGATATGATGCGGGTCTCGGTACTTGCATTGCAAAGTTGCAATGCCTCATCGTGTATTCATGGAGCGTGATCGGATTCAAACAAAACATACTCCGTGTCTCCGAACCACAGCATTTCGAGAAGAAACTACGACTTGTCGTGCTCGGGTTCCACTGGTTCAGATCATTGCTCGGCCATCGACCTATTTTTCTTGCAGTGCGATCTGCATCTGCATGTTCTGGTGGCGAGGCTGATTGATTAGAGTAGAGTGCGTGCCTGATTAACTAAAACTAACGTAAAGCTTTGTAGTTACCCAAGCAGGGGCCATGTTACTTAACAGTCAAGATTCTTGGCCTAGTAGGCAGTAAATTATGCCCTAATGTCCGTTTGTTTTTCCCTCAGCTACTCTAGATATCCCCCGGTCAAAGATCTGTCCATGCACCATCGTGCTGGCCGAATTAACAATGGGCGCGTTGGATCAAGCGAGGGTTAGCGCATGATGGCCCGAGATTATCGTGCACTGGGTGTGGAGCCTGTTAGCACGCATGTCCCTACTTGGAAGTGTCCTGATGGACGTCGACATGGAGCTGGCGGTCACTCCTTGTAGTTGGGTAGGATGCCCATAGCTACCATGGTTGTTCTCCCTTTGCTGCGCCTGTCAGAGCCCGAGTCTGGCCGGCTATGGTGACTCTGTTAGCCACATGAGCACTGAACTCACTGGCTGCATCAGTAGTGAACTCACATGATGTGGATCTGACTGAGAGGTTTGCACGGTTGGAATTACTCGCAGTGTCATATATGGTCTCCAACTATGTTTTCGTTTTCCACTTGAGAATCAGGTCTGGCAAAGGCTCTGTTTGTTTCACCATTTCAAGCTTCGCTGACTGCGGCACATGTATTTTTGCACCTCACGGCTACGACTACGGCCTCAACCCGCAAGCCACAACCTTGGAGCAAAAAGGCGAATAGGCCCAACACAGCACACGGCCCACCCGTGTATTTTCTTTTCTTCCACAAGCCATGGAAAAAGCCCTAACAAAGCCGAAAGCCATGGAAAAGGAGTCATTTCTTATTCGGCACTTGAAAAATGCAAGTACTTCTCTCCCATGGGTTATTAGATGCCACTTCATTCCAGATATGTTCCAGTATTTTAGATCACTCTAGTACATTCTGGATAGTCATGTTCCAAGGTAGAAAGTTACTTATATTTCCTTGCTGAGTTTTCTCTCTCTCGATGGTTCCTTATGCGTGACAACCTATAATGCAAGATGGCTAACCGCTAAACTTCGGTGTAAACCTCCCCATGTTACTATCATTGTTTGAAATTCTCTGTAGTTCTTTATGCTTATTGTCAGAACAACAACAATTTGAATAATTGGATCTGTTAGCATATGTTTTTCTGCAGCTTCACATGTTCTCAAATATATTTTTACATATTTTTTGAAAGCTTTGATCTGCATCGGTTCATCATGAGTTGCGAAAAGAATTGCATTCAAGAAAGACCTCTTCTCGATGGTGCAGACAATGTCCATAAAAGGAGACATGGAGGGAAGGATGACATGGCGCGAGGTTGCTAAAACATTCAACCTCTACACCGGCTAAAGGGGAACCGGCTGAAGCGCAATACCTCCAGCGTTAGTCCCACTGCTACCACATGTTGTTGTGACGCAAGGCAGTATGAAGGCCAATAATATAACAATTGCAGAGAAAACCTCAATTACAAATGCCCAGACGGTGAGGTGGCCTCGTGAAGCTCCGACGCCGCCTCCTCCAGCCTTGGCCCCGGCGCCCTGCTCTAGATCTCGTTGCTGTCTGTCACAACAACAATAGTAGCATAGAAGTCCCAAGACAAAGCCAACGGCCCAACAATGCAATGGCGAAGCTAGACGTAATCCATCAGGGGAGGGCCAAAAACAGAATATGAGTGTTGGGGGTAGGGGGGATAATAAAATCTCATTACCATAATAATTATTCATAAATAAGTTCAAACTGGGCTGGGGGGGGGGGGGGCATTGGCCCCCCTTAGCTTAACACGTAGCTCTACCTCTGCTAGTATGCTCATATGGTTGACCATAAGAATAATAATTTGAGTAAGCGAGTCATTGTGATCGATCAATCCATAATGGTCCAGGCACACCGAGTTTTTCAAAAATAAATATGTGAAACCATGTAGGTCATAGTGCATAACTGC